CCTGTGTTTTCACTTAATCAACATCTACTCCCTGTAGCAAATACTGTTCTGGTTTCTATAACCATATATTATCTGTTCCTTTTACTTATTTTGGTTTTATATATCTTTTCCTTTTCAACTTTTTTGTGCTACCCCTCTTCTCTCATTCTCCTACACTCCACTCCACTCTGGAAACCCATTATTCATATGTTAGACCATGTGATATTTTCCCACTGATGACTGATCCATGATAAATGATTTTTAATATTTTAACATGTTCTCCAAGTTAGATAATTTCTATTCAGCTATAATCAAGCCCACCTCTTCTTTTTCTGTAATATCCAATCTGCTATTTTGCTCACTCAGTAATCTCTTTATTTCACATATTATACTTATTAATTCTTCCCTGTGCTTCTTTTTTATAGCCTCCATTTATCTTCTTTTTTTAAGTTTATTTATTTATTTTGAGAGAGAGAGCATGAGCATTGGAAGGGCACAGAGATGGAGGGAGAGAGAGAATCCCAAAGAAGATCTGTGCTGTCAGAGCCCAGCACGGGGCTTGATCTTGCAAATTGTGAGGTCATGACCTCAGCCAAACTCAAGAGTCAGTCATTTAACCAACTGAGATACCCAGGCACCTCTCCATATATCTTCTGAGATTCTTTATTTGCACATGAATTATAACTGTTTTTTATCCTTAAACATTTAGATGGTTGAAATCTTTGTCTCTGAAATCAACATTTGATTTATCTTACAGTCTCTTTTAATGACTCAGATTTTATCTTGATTATGGATCACATTTACTACCTCTTCATATGTGTAGTAATTTTTTTTTAAATTATATGCTGGATTACAAGGAGTCTATCATAGGTGGTCTTTCTATGAAAGGTAGTGAGTTCTGTCCTAGTGATTAGTTGAATTATCAGCAGATTATTTTTGTCCTTTCTGTCTTGGTTTTATTCTTTGGCAAGGCAAGTCTACTTTGGTTTTGAACTTAATTCATGAAGATGACCCTTACTTTTACTGTGGGGCCTTTCTGGAGTCACAACTAAAAGTCTGAGGTGCCCAGTGAGTTCTCTTCACTCTGGTTAGGATGAAAGTACAGTCTTCCAACAGTTCCTGGTCTCTGCTATCACTGTTCAGCTCTCAAGTTCCTAGCAGGAAATCTCTGCTAGGAGTATTGAATCTTACTCTGTAGAAATGCCGTTTAGACCTTGGATAATTCCTAGAAAATCTCCATAAAAACTACTGCCATTCCAGTGCAGTTCCTTTTTTTCAGGTACCCCAATGCAAATTCCAGAAATTATCATCAGCCCCAACTGTTCTCACTGCCTTCTGTCTCACACAGAGACTTCAGTTCTACTGGGGGCCTGGTGTTATATTTGATAGCAGGAAGTGCTTCCAAGCAGAACATCAGAAGGGTAGTGGAGCTCAGGTTGAGCTTTTTCTTTCTCTAAAAGATTACTATCTTGTGCTATGTTTAGTTTAATGCCATAGAACAGCTGCTTTACATAATTTGTATAATTTTATATTTATTGTGTGGGGAGAAGTAAGGTACTGGTTACTCTACACGGTTAGAAACACAAATTCTAAGAAGACATTTTTATTGTTAGATAAATGAGATAAAGGAGATTGCCATAGATGAGGCAGGTTGAGGGTGATAGGGGAGACAGGGGCCTTCAGAGGTAGTACAGAGCTTGTGACTCAAGGGGTTTTGCAACAAGCTACATCTATACTTTAAAATACAAAAGTGGAAGAGAGATGAACTTCAGGATCAGGACAATAACACTCTTGGTGGTAAGTCTTTGTGGAAGACAACAAATGTGATTAGAAATTAGAGATGACATAGGTCCAGTTTCTATCTTTGTGCTGTTTAATTTAGCAAGTACCTGTCCCATTAAAAATAAGTAATAATAAAAAGAAACCAACCCTGAAAGCATGAAGAATTACAAAAATGGAAGAATAAATTAGTATAAACCAAAATCTAATAACTATATAATGCATAAGGAATTACTTAAGCAAAGTTATCAATAATTCAGATGGAAAATAAACTATATTTTCAAAGATTACAAAAATGCTATTTTTAATTCATATTATTTGATAAAACATCAAAAATGCCAAAACATTTCATTATAATTTTATAAGACAGTAAACATGTATGAAAAGTAGACTGAGAAATATCAGCAAATCAGTGAAATAGAAAATATAAACAAAAGCTTTTGATGACCCCTCCCCCACACAAATAAACACAATTGAGAATTATAAAGAGCAGTTGTGAAAAATGAAAATATATATATAAGGATAGAAGTATCATAAACAAAATGTTAAATGTACAGACAAATGAGACAAAATAAAAATAAAACCAGGTTGGTATTCCTAAGTAAAAAAATGGAATAAATGGAAGAGAAAAACATAAAGATATAGTAGAAGTGACTTTCCTAGAATAACTAAAATCTGAGAATAATAGATGGAAATAGCTATCAAGTCATGCCATGATGAATTTCCTGAACAGCAGTGTTTTTTAAACACCTATGTGGCTACTGCACATAGAAAGCCTATCATCCAGAAAGGTAGTTGAGTGGAAATAGGAGGAGAGATTAGGTTGGCCTTAGACTTTGCCTGTGGTACAAGAGAGTGGAAAATTTCTTCATAAACATTTGAGAAAAACTGATGAAACAAGATATTATATATCCAGTCAAAATTGCTCTTGAACTACTGAATGATAAGAAAATGTAAAAAATATGGATAAAGAGGATTAATTTAAATATATGTTTATATTATATAATTTATATTATATATTTAATATATAAATATGCTAATTATTTATATATTTAATATATAAATATGCTAATTATTTATATATTTATACTATATAGTATATAACATATAACTTTATAATATATAAAATAATATGTATATTTTAAAATATATATTATATGGGGGGCACTAGCAGCTACTAGATTTGTGATTACTGATCAAATACATGTTATGATTTTTGATGTTGTGATATTAACAATGTGATTTTAAAATTCTGGGAGGTGAGTAAAAAAAAGAGGGGTAGGAATTATACATTTGTTCATTTCCTTTTTTAATTATACTTTTCTATAAGTGATAATAAATTTAAAATAACATAATTTTAATATTATGTCTTAATGTCAGGATGTCTTTTAGAGAATGATATCTCATAATAATAAAATATTTACTTAACTGAAATAAAGCACTGCCTTTAATTCTGCTTATTTTGTTTTATAATTAAATTCTATATAAGTAAATAATTTACTACTTTACTAAAATAAATATATTCTTATTTTTCTGTAAAATCTCTTTCTGTCTCTCTGTTTCTCCATAAAACTATGGAGAAAGAACAATTATTCTAATAGTTAAATATCATTATTTCAATGTGCGCTTTGGAGTATAGCTTTTAAACAATCATTAGAAAATAGCATGTAAAATTTCTACATAACATGATAATTCCTTAAAAATAAAAAAAATATTCTGCACGTTTTAGTATTAACCTCAAAAAAGGCAAATAAAGTAAAATCCAGGCATACTTATAAATATCCAAATATATTATCTTAAAGGACTAGGTATTACATTTTTTAAGCTTTTGAACCATATGGTCTCTCATAACTATGCAACTCTACTATAGTAGTGGGAAAGCACAACAGACAAGTGTAAACAACTTGGCATCTTCTAATAAAACATTATTTTCAAAAATAGGCAACCAGTCTATAGGACATAGTTTGTTCACCCCTGACATATACTGACATATATCATCAGCTTTAATAATCAAACTATTACCAAGCTCTCTCAGAAATATTGAGATTAAGACACTAATATAGAATGTTCCTAATTAATGAATTTATTGATTTTTGTTTTGTTGTTTCTGATATTAGTTAATACAATACTTAATTTTGATATGGAAAGGGTCAATCAAAGGGAGTGTCACTAGTAACTTACATACATATTAATATACACAAATATTTATATCTCTTGATTTCTTTAAATAACACCAAAATCAAGTGAGGAGGAACAAACTTTGCTTAAAACAGTTCTTAGATGCTTTGACTTCTTCCCTTCCCTTTTATATTTATGACCTGGGTCAAAGAATCCCAGAATGTTAGAGCTGGATTGGACCTCTCAGTACATCAAATTAAGTAATCTTATTCACACAGGAAGGAAAGCTGCTGGCATTGAGATTGCATAAGTTGCCCCTGGTCACCCTGCTAGCTCTTGTCAAAGTTAGAACTGAAACTCAGTCTCCTAGCTCCTTTTGCAGAGGTTTTCCCACTATGCCAGACTACGGAGTATGGCATGGCTCAAGCCAGAGAGGAGCCAGTTTATCAGAGCTTAAACAACTAGTTATCATATTAGAAATACGCTTATATTGACTCCTGTGTTCTCAGCACTGTTAATTATCCTGCTTCTACTCGTTCTCTATTTTTAACATATGCTTATTGAAGTTCATTAAAAGCAATTAAATATTATAGACAGAAAATAATGCTGCTCTGTATATACTCAGTTTCTTGGCAAAAGGCAAAACTGCAGTTTTCTTTCCTTCTCAGTTATTTCTAAGAGTTGAGATCAGAATCGCCTGGAGAACTTGTTAAAACCACACATTGTTGGGCCCCAACCCCAGAGTTTCTGATTCAGTGGGTTTAGGATGAAGCCTGAACATTTACAGTCCATTGTTTTATTTTCTTGTCATATTCCTTTATTAGATGGGGACAATTTTTATTTAGTTATTTCATGAGAAGGAGTACATGACACTTGGTGTGACTTTATAAATTGAAGGTAACTAAAACTTAATCAGTTGTATGCTACTAATTCTATAAAGTGCTTAGGATGTCAGATGACTATAGAATTTCCCTTCAAATGTGGCTTTTGTACATTTTTGTCATTTATAAAATTACTTTATGCTTCAGATACTTAAATTATCTTCATTAGCATTGTGTAGACAGCATAAGAAACAATTAGCTCCTAGCTCCTAAAACTTGAACTCTCCATTTCTCTCTACACAGTGAAAGATGCAGATGTACTTTGTATGGACATACAGATTCTGTGAACAGCATCGAGTTTTTTCCTTGCTCCAACACACTTCTCACAGGTTCTGCGGATAAGACCCTATCTGTATGGGATGCAAGAACAGTAAGCAAATCTTTCACCCTTTTTCTGGGTTTTGAGAAGTCTAACCACTCTTAGTCAATCTTTACGTACTGAGTGCAACTTATAAACTAATTGTGCAAGGTCATGGAAGTAAAAAATGGTAGTATCTTCCTATTTATAAGATCTTGCTTATGTACTCTTACTTAACCCAGCCTCCTGAATGTTGGGGTTATAAAAATAATGCAATTACTTCATTAAACATCAATTCAACAATTATTTATTGAGACAAACTGCTGGTTCAGGAAATATAAAAGGGGAACACGTAGCACTTCTCCTTAAGGATCTTGCAGCAAAGAGAAACAAGAGACTATCTTAATGCAGTGAGGTATGTTTTTAAACGGAAGAACATACAAGAGGGAAAGCATGGAGAACTGTCATCTGCCTGAAAGAGTATGGATGGCTTCCAAGAGGAGTCTGTGCTTGGACTGAGATGTGGAGGATAAGTAGGATATATCAGGTAGTCTGGAAAGTATGGAATCTGGGAACAGGTAGTACATATACAAAGCAGTAGAAATGTGAGCCTATGAACTGGATGTAATAGTATGTATAAATAGAGCTTACAGAAGAAGAAACAGCAGGTAAGAGTATGCAGAGAGACAAGGACAATATCATGAAATACCTGATTCAGGTTTTATAGTGTTTCAGAGGTAATCTGTTAGAATGTTAAGGAAATAGGGTAACATAATCAAATTTGCCTTTTAGAAAGACTAATATATTATGGTATTTAAGTAAGGGAGTCTGTTTCATTGAGGAAGTTGGTACAACAGGCTATGAGTGGATAGGAACTTAAACCAGGAAGCCAACAACAAAAGGAAGGGAATGGATTAAAGGCAGGAGGTTTGACTCTCAGAATTCGAAGAGTGATTGGAGGTAGAGATTATGGGAGGAAAAGGTGTCTAAGGTGATCAGCTGTGTGTTTGTCCACAGCTGAGGAATGTCCTACATCATGGGATTTTCAGTGCTAAAACCAGACAGCCCTACCTAGATTACTGTTGGAAGACAGATTGGGGAAACTACATTTTCAAACAGTTTGGTGGAAGAGATGAAGAGGAGAAAAGCCTGTAGCTCTAGAGTCAAAGAAAAACAAAAGGTTCTCCTTTGTTCAGATAGGAAAAAACAGGTTTATTGTTTTAGTGAAAGAGCAAAGTGAGGAGAAGGGCTTGAAGATGGAGGAGGGACAAGAGATAACACAGAGGCTTATTGAGCACAGAGTTTAGTGATTTGAGAAATGCCAAGATATGCAAAACAGGATCTCCATATCCATTCTTAGTAATATTTGATAGAATATCAAAGAAAACAAAGACTTCAGGAGACTATATCAAAAAAAAAAAAAAAGAAAGAAAACAAAAGGAAATATCTATAGTTCCTGATTCCTGGGTCAATAAGGAAATGCAACTTGTAATTTCTCTCATTTATGACTCATGATTAACATCAATAAAGGATTAGGATGATGAATATACAGACGGTGGGAATAGCAATTCAGTTCAATATGGGAGGCCCTATGTAGTCATCTGAGGCAAATTAATTTACGATGAATACACAACAAGAAGTCCTCAGGTTCACATATTACAGAAAAAGCCTACAATATCTTAGACACCAACTTCACATGTTGCAGAAATTTAGACTTCTGAAGAAACAGAAGTCAAAAGGCACTGGGGAAAAAGCATGTCAGACATGACTTAAGAATAAAATCAGAATGATTTGTTGTTGAGTACAAAGGTCCTGCAAACTTCTCCTTGCTTTAAAATAGTTTAGGCCCTGATACAGCAGAGTTCACTCCTGCTAATGGAGCATCAATGGAAAAGCAAGATTTTCAAATGCATTTAGCCTAAATACTTAGATGTGAAGTGTGTATAAAAGCAACTGGTAAAGGAAAACCCACAGAGAAAATATTAATTTAGCAGTGACCCAAATTTTATGTTCATTTTCACTTGATTTCAGGGTTTTTTTCCCCCTCTTCTCTCTGAAAATGCTTTAACTGAATGTTCTCAGAAACTGTGTCTCTTATTTATTTTTTCTCATGAAAAACTAAAGCACTAGTGCTTTGAAGTAAAACCTTTCTTATTAAGAGAAGTTGCTTCTATATATTTGCCTTAAATGCACAGAGTTGTTTACTGATGGTGACCTTCCTATCTGATTTGTGAGCTCTATTTGTATTGTTTTTATTTCCCACAGTATCTCTGAGAGCAGAAGAAAGATTCATCACAGCAAAGGGCCTTTCGTATACTGTAGCATAGCATTGGATTAAATGTTTGTGCAAAGAAAGGTTGTGAATCCCAAAAATATCTCTTTAATCCATATATATATATATACACATATATATATGGTTGGTGAATATATGGATAATTGTGAATATATCGATAATATATGGATAATATAATACATATCCATATATATATGTATATATATGGTTGGTGAATATATAGATTATATACATATATATACACACACACACAATATATATTGAATTGGTGTAATGGCAAATTAAAGTTTAAGTTACTATGCATGCTAGCTTTAAATTAATACTAGAAAAAGGACTCTAAAATATTTTGGCATAAATGAAATTTATGTTATTCATAAATAATAGTATGTATATAATTGATTAGAAATAAAATTTATTCAATTAGTTTATTTTCTGAAGACATTTTCAAACCGGATGTTAAAAAATATATACTTAAAATGCTATAATGTAATATAGAATTAGCATGTAAAACAAAGGGAAATTTACTTTTTATTAATAATTAGACAATGCAAGTTATTAAATAAAATGTTAATATAAAATTCTGCAAGTAGCATATGACAATAACTCTAGAGTTAAAACAGAATTGTTTTATTAAAGTCACATTAGGCACCTCTGGTGATTTTGTTTCAGATTCACCTCATTTCTTTAAAACCCAAGAAAGCTTATATAACTAGATTTAAAAAATTAGATAACTTTTTAAAACTACATGTATATATTGTTAATATAATATGAATTATTTGCTATCTTATATCCCAATGGTTCATGCAGGAGTTAAAAATAAATTTACTTTTGTTGGTGAATATTAAGAGATATTGAAAGAGAGGCACCTGGGTGGGCCAGTGGCATCTGACTTCAGCTCAGGTCAGGATCTCACAGTTCAAGGGTTTGAGCTCTGAACTGCTTCAAATTCTGTGTCTCCCTCTGTCTCTGGCCCTCCCCTGCTCATTCTCTGTCTCTCTCTCTCTAAATAAATAAATAAACATTATTTTTTTACTTAAAAAAAATACTTTGAAAGAGAAACCCAGGGTAACTGTTTTTCTATCACATAGCTTCTTCTATGTGATAGTACACAACATGTTGATATTGATGGAGTATTTTGGACTCGTAACATTAGCTGTATCCATATTAGGCCAGTGTACTTCTTCTTTATAACTTTTAGATTACGTTCTTTAATAAATGATAAACTGTCTGGTACCCTGAAAGTCTGTACCAAAAAGGAGATAATGGCTTCCTTCTCTTCCTGGTAAAGCAAGGATAGCCATTTTGTCACCTGGATGTGATCAATTTCTATTGAGACATCCTCTAAAATAATTTTTGATGAAACATGAAAATGACCAGTGAATTATATTCCTATAAATTAGTTTTAAACCTCTTTCTCCCATTTCCAAACATATACTAGTCTTAAATCATTAACCTAATCTAACAGCTTATTGTCAAGGATAATGAATGTACAGACCTCTAAGTCAGTCTCTAAGTCAACTAGACAGATCAGCTCTGAATTTTGTGGGAGATGAGAAGAGGGATATAAATCTCTATAATTACCAAATGGAGGCTATTAAATAGCTTGCAGTTTGAAACTCATGAACTTGCTCTGTTTTATAGGACTACATACAGAAAGAGTATTTTTTCTCAAAGTTATGAAACAGTGAAAGCATTTTATTAAAATTGAAAAATAAGATTAGAACATTGCCAGAAAATTATGTATAATACAGGACATTAAATGAAAACTTATAATGCCCTCTCAAAAAGTGACATGAAAAAATCCAAATATACATCAGTGATTTGGAAACCTATTTAAAATAAATGCAATGAGATTATTAGTCATCACAAGTCCAATAAAAATATTAAGCCATTTGATTTTTTTTTTTTTAAGAATGTGCTCACAGTACAGTAAAGCATAGGATAGAATGAGTTATATATCTATGAGTTGTTCAGAGCTGGGCTGGCAACAGAGTTGCTGACATTTTGTCTCTTGTGATGAATCAAACATAGAGAGTTCGTGCCCGAGACTGCCTTTGATGGCTGTGCCTTGCCCCCTGTACTAACTGCAGGCTCTTGTCCAGCATACAATGTTTTCCTGACTTAGCTTTAGCCAAAAGATCTAGTAACTGATGACTGTGAATTCCTGTAAAGTGGAGGAACTAAGTCCTCATCAAAGGAGTTATACTACTAGGTCATATCTGGTACCTAGCCCAGGATCATCTCCAGAGTTCAGCCTGTACCCTGCATATACCTGTTGGTTTCCCCTAACTCTCAGAGGAGCCTAGCATTATTCAGAAGCTAGAAGATAAAAATAAAGGCCAAGTCTGTACCTTCTCTCTCTAGGTTTTATTCCTCAGCCACATTCAATTTAGTAATCTTTATTGAAAAGCTTTGTGCCATGCAACATACTGGGTTCTGGATTATTGACTGTGACACATTCCCAGCCATCAGTGGACACGTGGTCTATTAATTCGTATGCAGTGGTGATAAAAATATATAGGCAGAAAGATAAGTTATTTTAAAATAATGTAGTAATTGCTATATATAACTACAGCTTTGGCCTTTTGTACCAAAGCTCACTATTTCAGAAGGTGATTTTATGACTAACACTTACTGGATACCTCCTCTGTGCCATCACGGTACATATACAATCTATGTAATGCTTACTGGAATTACCATTATTGTATATATTAGTAATTGAGAAAAAACAAAGAAAGAAAACAAAGGCTTAAAAGAGTAGAATGTGTTGCCCAAGATCAGCCAGCTGGTCAGTGGCAGAATCACGAAAAAGCTGGCTTTTCAACCTCAACTCTGTATGGTTATTTTGTGGCCCCTAATTTTTGTTGGTTCTCACTGCAAATTAGAATAGTGTTAAAATGACATTTCAGTGAGAAAAGATGATTTAATATCCCTATATTTCCCAAAATATCAGCTTAACACAGTAATTCAGCGATGCACAAGTCAGATCTATTGCTTAGGTTTAGCAACTATCAGAGCTGCAAACAATGCTTCACAGACACAAAGCTCTTAAGGGAAAAAGTGTACAGTGGTCAGTAGCTGTCAATTTGGATACTGGATTTTCAAATTCATCCACCAGTCATACAGAGGCATTTTTCCTAAGATTATGCTAGGCACTTTTTTTTCCTGAGGTTGATGTATTGGTCTTATAAACTAATCAGAAGTTTTCAAATACAGGCAATTTGATACAAGCAGATACATTTGAAAAAATAAACATACTTAACTGTTTTTCTATAGAATCATGAGCTTACATCCTAAATAATCTTGCAGTTATATCAGACAGTATAGCACAGTAGGAGCACACAGTCATTCTGACTGAATTCAAACCCAAGTTCTGCCACTTATTATCAGTGTGGCTTTGGGCATAATTGTGTAAAATCTTTGCGTCTCAGGGACACCTGAGTACTCAGTCGGTTAGGCGTCCGACTTCGGCTCAGGTCATAATCTCACCATTCCTGGGTTCCAGCCCTGAGTCAGGCTCTGTGCTGACAGCCAGCTCAGAGCCTGGAGCCTGTGTCAGATTCTGTGTCTCCCTCTCTCTCTGACCCTCCCCTGCTCACACACACACACACACACACACTCTCTCTCTCTCAGAAATAAAACATTAAAAAATAAAAATAAATAAATAAAATCTTTGCTTCTCAATTTGCTTGTTTGTGAAATGTGGATAGAAGTACCTATACATAAAGGTGTTATGAATAATCATATGAAGTAGAAGATTGACTGATATGTATAAGAACTTAATATATTTTAGATTCTTATAGCAGCTGGTATATTATAGTTGTTTGCCTACTCAGATCTGTCTATCATGTAACTCTGAACTTTCTTCTCTCATTTTTCAATTGCTGGCATAATAGGTGCTCAAAAGATGTTGGAAGGAAGGGAGGTAAGAGGAGTGGAACCATTAATCAGATGTTTTTCTTTTTATGCAAAGAAGCATTTTGCCTGCAAAATCTAGTTTTCTAAAAATTATGAATTCATATTTTACTACATAATAAAAATCATATTAAATAAGTTAATTTAATGTAGCCAGATTTTTAAAAATTGTGACTTAACTCATAAAATGCTTCATTTCTCTATATATCTCATATATAGCACCGAAAATCCTTGCATACATATCACATATATCATTGTTTTCCTCTTATCCCTTTTAGTTAATGTAAATAGCATTACAGAGACCAGCAGTGCATAAAGTAGATTTTTGTATATGGGAGCCAGGCTTTGAAAAAAAGTTGAATATCAATGGAAACAACAATTAATTACTCTGCATTTCTAACTGAAACACACATATACATTAGTTTTATTCAATTATTTCAGTTCTGTATGAGTTAGAAATAACTCCTTCATATTTCATGTAGTTAATTTAAATTTAATCTAATAAAGATATAAAGTTGTGCTGTAAGTAGGCATAACAAAAAGTAAATTTTGTAACCAATTGTTTAGAAAAAGTTGAATATTCTCAATAACAATTCACTCTTATCATAGTTAAGTCACCCCTTTGCATTCTGTTATATTCAATTGTATGGATTGGATTGAATTCTAGGATTGGAGGGACCAATCCAAAAGAAAAATACCAAGTATTGAAAACTTATCCTTTGGGTAAAAATAACATGAGCTAAATCTCAAAAACTTTTCCCTGAAAAAAACTCAATTTTTATTCCATTGATTAAAGGGTAATTTATATCAATTTGAAAGTATTTATATTGTTAGTAGAGAAATTATCATCTAGGAGGGTACGAAATTTAGATATAGACAATTCATTTTCTCTTATGTTCTTTAATAATAGCTATAAGAAAGATATATAGCATATTCTGTCACTTTAGATACATAGTCTAAACATCACAAACAATATTACATGTTAGAGAATATGTTCACCATATTATAGATAAAGCCAGTGAAGAGATGCTAAATAAATTTTTCAAAGATCTACAGCTGTAAGTGGTGATCTTAAGATTGCAACTCTGTTCCTTT